CCACCAGTTGGTCTCATGCATAGCCATGGACATAAGTCATTGTCAGCTTCATAGGGGATGTTGTTTACGACATAGGTAGCCTTGCTCACCAAACACTTCAGGTCCCTGACACCCTCAATAGATCGACCACGATCATTAGTCATACACCTTATAACTGATGAAAACTCAGCATGTGGACGCTCAAGCCAACCTCGTCGTGCCGCATCGAACCCAAACGTGTATACATGGACAACATTGTGCTCAGCAAGGAGCTGCTTAAACCTTATAGACATGAAGCAGCTTCCTTGATCAGTTGCTATTACACGAGGCCACCCATTGGCATTCAGTAATTCTATAGTCGCACAGGCCACATCCTCAGTGCCTGGAGAGTCGATAACCGTAGCAGCTACAAACTTGCTAATGTAGCATACCAATAGAAGGACCCAGTGTTTAACACCGTCAGCATCTTTGATGGGTCCTGCTAGATCAGCACCAACGACACCCCATAAGAGAGGCACCCATGATTTAGATGTTGATATAGCTTTAGTGAGGGTACGGCCATACTTGGCTTGGCAACAGACGCTACAGGAAGAGATCCAATGTTTCACTCTCCTATGAAGTCCCTTAAAGTCACAGACTCCACGTAACAAGCCGACCGTCTTGGTGATACCGGGGTGACCAAAATCTCGATGAAACCTGTCAATCACCTCGTCCTTCAGCTTGTCGTCGTCCGGAATGTATACCACCCAAGTATCGTCTTCATCTGAATTCCATCGCCTGCTCATCAAAGTACCACTTTCATCATCAAGATGGAAGAACTTAGACTGAGAACAGGACGGATCAGATCGTAGCTGGGACATAATAGATACACAATTAGGATCGGCGGATTGAGACACCTTAACACGTGGCAAGAACTGCTCTATCCAAGAAGCGGTTGTGTCTTGATTAGCAACACAGCAAGACATCTCATTGATCACAAGGGCTTCTTCAATGTCATCCTCATCGGACAAATCCTCTTGCTTATCGTCGGTACCCAAGGAACCATCGTTGAGGTTAAAGTCCACGAGGCAGTCATCTGCTAAGGCACTGCACACAGCTTCCCATGAACACTGGACTGGCTCACAATTCCCACAAGGCCGAGTAAGACGGTCCGCTAGATTGTCACCGGAGCGAATGTGTCTGAATTCAGTCTCAGGAACTACCTCTTGGAGCTTGATCTTGTTCAACATGGCCCTTATGTGATTCAGCCTCCTCTTCTCCGGAGATGGAAGCTTCTCAATTTTGCTACTCTGTGGATGGCAAATCACCAAGCGTAACCGATATAGGGTGATGCTGCTATCATTGACGATGGTAACATGCTTCACTCTGGAAGTGAATGTAGATAGGATGGTTGAAACAGCTTGTACACCCATACGCAGAGACTCCAATTCACGTCGGGGGATGGAACCACCAGGGTGAGTTGATATTCTCGAGAGTATCGTCGCCCATTAGCACGTGAACGGACATCGACAGCCATAGCGACTCACTAGCATCGACAACACCACCAGACCTTCTATAGGATGTATCGAGGAGGCACCATCCTCGTGGAGC